TCCACCATCAAGCAATCATTTAGCGGCCAAATGCAAGCCATTGGAAAGTCAGCTGGCCGAGGACGTGTATGCTTACAAGGAATAGGACTCACCACAGACGGCGTACACGCCAAGCCAGTCGTACTCTTGATGCCGGTACGACAGCAGCTGACAGCTCCAACGCCAATCGGGCGGTGGTCAAGTGAGTGGTCATGATAGTGAAGGCAGCGGACGTGGGCTTGGTAGCGTACGCGGTCGTGAACCAGTACAAGGGCAACGAAGTGGACTGCGAAGGGAGCCACAGGGATAGCCGTACCTTGAGCCTGGAGCGACTGCAGCTGACAGCAACAACTCGATGATCAAGTGAGTGACAGTGGTGTGGTTCTACTAAATAATAGAGCTGATGACGATGGAGATAGTCGCAATGGGTGGGGCGGATTGTGGTGGAGTGATTCCAGGAATAATGATGATATTGGTAGTTTGGGAAGTACTGCCCGAGACAATGAAGCTGGGGGGCATGGAACTGGTCAACATCTCCTTTTCAAATGGCGATCAAATCACGGATATATTTCAGACGCCTGCAACGCCAGAACAAGGGCAGCGAGCCGGCTGGAATACTGATAGTGACGAAGCCGAAGTGCCTATTTCTACCGTCGCGGCGCCTCAACGAACACCGCCGTTACTTCAAGATGTGTTTCTTAAGAAAATGGTGGCGTTTTCACCGGCCAAAGCACCATGGATAAGGCTCAAAGCTTATAGGTGTGTGGGTACAGCTTTAATTGTTCTTCGTGTGTGCCGTCACATCAAACCTAAAAACATGACTTTGTTTCAAGTCATGTGGCTGGACAGCCAATTTGAAGTTGCAGTCGAAACGGTAAGTATTTGTATCGTACAGCGTGACATCCAGAACTACCAGACTCTGACACAGTTACCGACGAGGCACCGTTCGTGGTGGCAGCAAGCACGTCCCGAAAGACATTGAGCTGCGAAAGGAAGAATCGACCTGTGATGATCATCGGTAGGCTGTCGCAATTGAACAACAAATGCTGGCTGCGTCTTGGTGTGATGGAAACATCGTGACGATGGTGACAAATGCTAACGCATCCTCAACTGCCTTAGTTACACGGCGCGTTGGCAGTGAGATACGAGAATTTTCGGCTCCTACGTGCATCCGACAGTACAGCCGGTACAGTCGACCGGCTAGATCAATTTCGAACCAGGTTTTCGTTGGGTGTTGGGCACTCGTATAAGCGCTGGCCCAAGAAGCTGGCACTTGAGCCTGTAGATATAGCACACGCCAACGCGTATTTGACGCGGCGGTTGGCGGTTGATACGATTGACCCCATCGAACGTTCCATACTGAGCTGGTATCTGAGCTTATATCTGGAAAGGGGCGAGAAGCTCCTAGTGATGGTTCAATATCTTTTGGAAGCAGTGTCGTGGAAGGTACACCACAGCGAGACCCAACTACCCCAACAGTGAGCCCCGGCATCGCCATGGCTAGCCCGAGGAGCTCGCAAAAGATGTGTGAATCGGTGCCTTCAAAGCAAACGTTTGCAGGAGGGGGGGGGAAGAAAAGAACGGCAATGCATCGAATGCCGTTATGAGGACAGGTGTCCCACGGAGGTAACCGACTATTGCCTAACGCATTGTGTTTGGCTTTCCGGGTGGTACAATCTTACATCTAAACGATTTGGGCATGCCCGCCGAGGACGTGGATATGCTGGGATAAGTACCATCGGTACTACTTTCCCCAAAGAAAATTCTCAGCTAACGGCAATATTTGAAGATCGTCTAGTCTCGCCAAACTGAAGCACCATCACCAGTGAAGCGATCCGTTGCATAGTGCAGCCTATGCTGAAACAGGTCGCAGGTTGTAACCCAGTGACCAGAACACTAGTGATTTAAGCCAACCTACTCGCCCACGTGCATACACATATTCCTCTTTTTTCGACTTAAAGGTGCATTTATCTTTTTTTAAGTAAATGTATTCGGTGAAGAGCTTTTTCAACCGATTGCTTGACAACGGCCATCACGTTCTCAGTCACTGCCTGCTTTACCAAGACGACGTGCACGCGAGCGTCACGAGGCCTGCTAGCACCACGACAGCGACCTACAGGATCACACCACCAGGACGGAGAATACCACGATCACAGGCTGTACCACGACGGCGCATACCGCGAGCACAGTCAGTACCACGGCGGCAAATATTCGAGCTCAATCACCACCACGACGAGGAGCACCACGAAAACAACCAGCGTCAGCATGACGTCGGGCACACTTGGTCAGCCAGCTACAACAAGGAGTGGGAATGCTACGATGGTGGCAACAGCAAATCATATCCCGAAAGACACTAGGCCCAACAGACCAGTCTGCTTCACCCGAATACGCACAGCAGGTGGCCAACCATCACAAACAGCACCACCCGCTCCACGGGAATAGCTAGACCACCACAACGTCGGACACCCTAATACCGACCAGAAGACGAGAACCGCGAGGAATACCAGCACCAGCCGCACCATCACGATGTAGAACACCACGAGGGCTTCCGTTAGCTCTCAGCTCGGCGGTACATATATATGGGCTCCAGAGTTGCTTTACAGCTAGCCCACCCGTTCAAGATCTCCTTACGCTCCCAATTCAAACAAAACATGCTTCGGCAGGACACGCGACGGCGTGGGCAATACCGCGACGTATAATAATCAGATGCCCTTCTCATATCGCTGAGCTCCTCCAATACCACAACCTTCGCTGCCTCTTCAAACAAAAATTCGTTGAGGTAAAAGATCGAAGATTCTTGAAAGGGTAAGCACGTAAAAAAATGGGAGTGTCCAAAACGTCGCCATGTAGCACTTGCACTTTGTATCGTAGTAACAGACGTGGAGCGTGAGAACGTAAGCACTCCGATGCTCTACGCAGAATTTCCACCCGCTTCTCAATGCCCAAGCCCTGCCGTCAGCATCTGAAGAGCGAACTGGGCGGCAACGTTTCCAACCCCTGGTCTAGAAATACGTCGCCACTATTCACAGGCCCAACAGCGCAAATAATTCTTGATATAGTTGCAGGTAGTAGCTCCCCAGCTTCCCCTCGGGCTTTCCAGCCTGTTGCCGTACATCAGCCGCGGAGTCATCGCTAAAGATGTAACGCCGCGCGTTCGGCTTCGGTTGGAACGAGTAGGCGAATTCGGGCGAAATCGGCTGCATTTGAATGAGGCCGATGTATGTATAAGAAGCACGGGGGAAACGCGCCAGTTGCTTGCCGTACGTACGTTTCAGCAACCGAAGGCGCATCTGAAGCTGCTTCGGTGCTAGCCTGCCTGGCATCTGCGCGATATGTCATCCCGAACAACACGTGAGCTTAGGATCTCGAACTTAAGAGCAAGCATCACAAGTCGTTTGTCTTCATTTTTCGAGAATGTTGTCCGCCACGATTGATAAAATATAAAAAAAAGATAGGTATGTGACTCAGGTATTGTATGGAGACACACGGGTGGTGAACACCACCCGTGTGCTGGAGCTGGCTTAAATATCTGGTAGGTTTTTGGCCGATTAGCCTGTTTATTACAAGTGTATCCAGCGATTTCGCTTGCGTTATAAAAGATGAACAGTAAATTTTGCATCAATTGGGGAGGAAACTGGCGAGGTTCTTGGATTTTATTTAAGTACCTGCTCGGGATTCCCCCCCCCAACCACGCAGAATCGCAAATACAACTGGATATCACAAACCACGGTGTTACAATAATAGAGATATAGTTATTTAGAAGCATTTTGCCTCCATTAAGGGGGGACATAAAGCACCCACTTTCGTTAAAACTGTTTTAGGGAGGCAAAATGTTTCCTTTTGTTCGCTAAAGGTTTTATATTTTGCTAAATTTACCCCCCCCCGTACTTATAGTGTGTATTTGACGACCTTGTGTCGAATTGTTGTGTCATGTCCTGTTTTCCATATCGTTGTATATATTACATGTTTATGATAGAGAAAATGCACATTGGT